AAGGACCACAAAAGAACTTCCACACACACGAAAAGACAATAAGTGAAAGAGAAGATGATTGGCTTCACTGTAGATTCGACACGTTGGAATGGTGGGGCTTTCTACCATTTGACTTCTTTTTCAACATTCATTGTGCTCAATAAAGCTCAATAAAAGTAAGGTTTGCAGTTTATATAATTGATCTCTTGTCCTCACTGGACAATATAAAAACTTTTCAATACTAATGTAACAAGATAACATTAGGGCCCTGTTTGATATTCCCAATTTTTCATAAAACTTGAAAATTATTTTTCATTTTTTATCTTTTACATTGTTTCATAGACAAAAATTTTCTTGGAATTGGTTCCCCCCACCCTGCCCCCACCCCACGTGACCCCATTTTCTTGATTTTCATTAAATTGGTTCTCCCAACAAATTATATCCCTTTAATAGACAATTTTTATGTAAAATAAAGTCAAACGAATACCAAAAAATCCAAAATTTCAATATTTTCCACATGAAAATTTACACTAATCAAACACAATTAATTGAACAATTCTCAGGAAAACAATTTTAGACAATTCAATTCCCTAGAATTCATTTTCTTTCCACCCAAATTTCACTCTTGTAATCAAACAGACCCTTAGTTATGATTCTCTGAATTTATAACCGTTTTAGAGAACCATTACTATGGTTCTCTTGTCACGTCGCCCACTGAGATTGGAGATCAGGATTGTTGCAGTTTAGTATAATTGTGAACAACTTACAAGATATCGATAACTAGTAATCTAAACGTTTAAATTGTTTACATTTTACACGTAAAGAGAGAGTAACTTATTTGAATATATATTTTTATTTTTAATAAAACATCTCCCCCTTGAAATAATACAAAATGAAATTTTCGCATGTTGTCAAATGTCCTTGGTATTAAAGAGAGACAAAGTAGGGACTTTGAGAATTACAATTCTCTTCTCATTTTGTAGATAGATAAAGAGGTAGAATTTTTTTGAAATCGTGCTTTTTGGTGGATTTATCAAGTCATGGCTCAACAAAAAATCTTGTTCCCTGCAAATCTTGAATTGCATACACAAATCAATTCATAATTAGATTTGTCAAATATTCAAATCAATTAGATACTCAGCATTGCAGTAAATAACGATAAATATTTCTATTCTTGCACCTATATTTTAAATTAGGGATTGCGAATCGAAAGTTGTCATAACCAAAAGAAAGAGTAGACTTGGGACTATTCATACTATCTTTTTCAAGCCTATGAAGGACAAAACATGAAAAGAAGGAAGAGAGAACAAAGCAAATTATAGCTAATCTTTTTGACAATAGAGTCTAACCTAATTCCATCATCAACATAGTAGAGACGAGCAAAATTAAGAACTATATATTGCGGTAAAGGAGGACTGAGTGGTCAAATCATAAAAAGTCTTGGAACAATGATGAATAGTTAATTTTTCAAATGGAATCTCCTTGAGGTTTAGTCAATTGCAAGCCATTATAAAGCACCAAAAGCTAATTTATGTTTTTCTTTTCTTTTCAAATAGTTCCTTTTCATTCCAAATCGTCCTAATTTCAGCTTTGTAGATAGAGATTACAAAAACCACAAAATCTCCCCCATTCGCTATCGGATTTTAGCCACAATCACATGGGCGACAGAGGCAGCACCATCACCACATATGAAAAATTAATTTAGAAAAATATAAAAAAATCGATACTGTAGATACAAAATCACCACCGACATTGGACAATTCACCAACAATACATGCCAAACAGGCCATAAATATTTTTATATATATATGATTCGACCACTTACATTCTTATACGTAGTTACTTAATTCGCTTAATTTCATTAAATTTATAGCAAACAAGAATCTACAACGAAAATGAAAGAGGAAAGAGATGGAATAGAAACTTCATTTATTAGTTTTTTTCCATCATAATTTATTTTTTTAAATATTAACATGAAAAGCAGCATCATCCTAACCAATTAATTCCTGTCTGCTAGGTGTCAATTATTAAAAAACTAAATTTAGATATATGATTCTCTCTTTAATAATGGTCATTAAAATATCTAAAATAATTGTTGAAGAGCATAAGATTCTTGACTGACACGATGACGTTTCAAGAGAGAACTTTTCAATCTCCAATTCACATTTCAACTTCTCCACATTCTTTTAAAAAAATAATCGCTTTTCAATATTGTATGATTTATATTTTTTCATCATTATGTTCAGCACATTAATAATTGAAAATTTAAATGCTTAGATCTTAACCATTACAAAACGTCGAGTTAGTTTTAGTTTTCCTTTCTTTCTTCTAAAGATAATATTTTACGTCGTTCAAATATAATAAAAATAATCAACATATAAAACCTAAATTATTTGTGATAATATCGAACTTTTGACACGAAACACTATGATATCAAATGTTGATAAAATTGAAGTTAAAGTCAGCAATTAATTTTAGGTCTTGTTTGATCCACATTCTTGAAAAAAATACTCATTTTCGACCACACAATTTTCAATAAAATAATATTACACGTAAATTCAAAACTTTTCATTTTTTTTAACCATATATTTTCCATCACATCACTATTTAAAATGCATTATTCGTTAAAAATGTGGATCAAACAGAGTTTAATCACACATTTCATGAATCCAACAATCTATATCAACTTTTCTACTACACATCTAGTTGACTTTTAATAATCCGATTTTCAACGAAATAAACCAAAGGCTAGATGAGCAATTCTGCCATTTTAAAATTTAAATGAATAATCAAATTTCAAAATTAATTCCACCCATAAACGCCTTTTTCTATTTGATCTAGTGGGATTACACAAGAATCTTTTTAAATCTTGTCATATCCGAAAAATTAGTTTTTTTTTTTTTTTCAGGGTGCAATGATAGGACATTTAATTAGTAAATAATATAAGTTGTCCAACACTGGGGTGGTCAAAAGTGATCAATTGGAATCAATAGCAGTTGATTTGCTTATGATAAATAAGCAATTATTTTGCATTCTGAGTTAAGTGCATTTGGATGATTGGTTCTTTTTCTTATTCTCTAAAAAAAATATTTATAGGTACATAGATGGCACTAGAATAGGTGCACATATTAAGACGATGGAGAATTAGAATCTAGATAAGTTTAGGTTTTCTAACCACTCACTCATCGAGTCAAACGAACCTGGTTGACAAGCGACTCACCGCGTTTGTCACCCCTACTTCTTGAAAATGCTCATTTATTTAGCATATTCTACCAATATGTTCCTTTCTCGGTGTCAATTGGAGAAAGAAAAAATGTTTGCCAATATGCTTTCCCAGATAAAATGATCTCAAATTTTAAGGGGTAAAAAAAAAGCTGCTAAGAATCTAGTCAAGAATAAGTCCCAACTCCAAACTTTTATTGGTAAAGCTCTTCCAAGATGCTCAAATTTGTAAATGTATTATGTAAGTTAGAAGATGCTCAAGTTTGTAAATGTACTAGTCTTTCACCTGTGCGATGCACGGTGCGATGCATAAATTTATATTAAGTGATAAACAATTCTAATATGAGCAACATATGGTAATTGATTTTCCAATCAATAGCAGTTGATTTGCTTATGATAAATTAAATAAGCAATTATTTTGCATTCTGAGTCAAGTGCATTTGGATGATTGGTTCTTTTTCTTATTCTCAAAAAAAATTATTTATAGGTACATAGATGGCACTAGAATAGGTGCACATATTAAGATGATGGAGAATTAGAATCTAGATAAGTTTAGTTTTTTTCTAATCACTCACGCATCGAGTTAAACGAACCTGGTTGACAAGCGACTCACCGCGTTTGTCACCCCTACTTCTTGAAAATGCTCATTTCTTTAACATATTCTACCAATATGTTCCTTTCTAGGTGTCAATTGGAGAAAGAAAAAATGTTTGCCAATATGCTTTCCCAGATAAAATGATCTCAACTTTTAAGGGGTAAAAAAAAAGCTGCTAAGAATCTAGTCAAGAATAAGTCCAACTCCAAACTTTTATTGGTAAAGCTCTTCCAAGATGCTCAAATTTGTATTATATAGTTTTTAAAGACAGAGCATATTAATTTATATAAATTTGTGGATTTTGTTATATTATTTTGCTTTATATAATTAGTATATGAAAGTATATTTGAAACTGTCGAACAACTTCATTTAAAAGTTTAGGGGCTGTTCTCTTTGTATTTCAATTTTGTGTTTTTAGTTTTGAATTCATTATGGGTTTTGTGTTTTGAGTGTTCATTTTGATATTGTTGAAAATGTATTTTTTCTTTTAGAATTTTAAAAAATTGTTTTGATAACAAGCAAAACGCGTTTTGAAAATTTTGACTTAATTATAACTGAAAACACCTAAAATGACAAATTGTCGTTCTGGATCTTCTTTGTAAATTTTTAATTTGTTTTCAAAAACGCGTTTTCACTGTTTTGGAAAATTGAAAACAGAAAACGGTTTGACGAACCTTTAAATTTTTAAGAAGAGAACTTATTAATTTATATAAATTTTTGCCATCAATATAGTTCTAGTTACAATTCAAGATTGAGTAGAAGAGGGTGAGAAGATGTTAAAAGTAAACATCGAATTAATAATCAACATAAGGGTTTAATTATTCCTATTACTAATTTTAACGTTTTAAGATTGAATTACAAAATTCAATATGATATCAGAGCTCAAAAAACTCAAATCGGTGAGAGCACGAGTTTTTGATCGTTGCATGTTGACAATCACATGAATATTTTGTTTCGCTACAACAAGTTTCATAAATATTTAGTGTAAAAATGAAGTTTTTATTTATTGAAATTTGCGAACATATACAGATCGAACTATAATTTCGAAAGAAAAACAAGTGCATATTGCCTAAATCCTTAAATCCTCAAAACAACTGCTAACTTATTGAAATAAGCCTTCTGCTTTTCTTTTTGCTTCCAAAAGGCTTAATGGTGAACTGATCATCTTCTAAAAATGTTCTGTGAGCAACTTCAGTATCGAAAGCTATGTTGAATCGAATTTGTCGAGAAACGAGCCTCCCCCGATAATTCCTTCATCTTCTTCTTCAAGAAATCCATCAAGCTACAATCACATTTCAATTTGTATTTTTTAGTTAAGCAGTCGGAGCAAGTAAAAATAAAATTGCACCATCGGTCATTAACCCATTGCACGAGTAGCAAGTTGGTCCCACCAACCTCTAAAGAAGAATAAGTTGGTCATCAACCTTTCATTATAGTTATACAATGAGTTCTTTTCAAAGTAACCGACTTACTACTCGAACAATAAATTAAAAACAGGCCGTGTAATTTTCCCTTAAAACAATGCTCGACCGAAAACCCAACCCTATACCTAAAATCTAGTTCGAACCTCAAAAGGAACAAAAAACGTTTATAATGTAGTATCTTTTCACTAGACAAAGATCAAAGGTGCCCAATTTACAACATTATGATTATCAATTGAATATAACAAAGTTGTGAAAAGTAAAGGAATATTACCCAAAGATCATCGTCATCTTCATATGATCTATTAAACATTGATGCTTTAGAAATCTCTCCACAATCGTCATTCCTCGTAAATCTGCCACGTACCCTTGGTCGATTATCTGCTAGTATCTTACGACAAGCATACTTGTATCGTCACCCAAGAAACAAAAGAAAAAAACACAGTTTAACCTAATGAAATGTAAATATGACTTGTATAGTCGACCCAAATTTATTGAGAATACAATTCATTGTGCTAACAATACCTTAATTGTCTTATTGAAGTTTCTTTGTGTCCTCTTTGCCCTGTACCTATGAATTCTCTCTTTTCTCTCTTCTGCACTGTATCTCCCAACTTTAAAATTTGGTTCCTCCATGAATGACCTCTCTGTGGACAATGGACTTGAGGACAACACATTTCTTGTTTGCATGTCTGTTTTCATCTTCTGAAATAAATTGGACAAAATTAATAAACAACATTGTTGAAAAACAAAACTTACATAGATAATTACACGTGCAAACGTTGATCAACTCATCTAAATAATTATATTCTTAACCCATACCGTCTAAAAATCCAAGTGCATGTAAGGTTAAGTTTTTCGTGAAAGAAAGTGTGACGTAATTTTTCACAAACCATTGATCATGTTGATGACCTATTTGGAACTTCATATTTGAGCAAGCAATGGTTTTTTTTAAGTCTCATAGCCACTCCTTTATAAAAATTTCATGCTTTTGATATGGAAAAGTGATCCCAACCTAAAAGTGTCGCACTTTTTTAAATGAAGTAGTTTACCAAATTCACGCCTTCAAAATCAAGAAAAAGAGAAACCAAAAAGAGCTAATCCAATGCACTAAAAGCAACCTTATGCATACAAGATTCGTCTTTTGTGAAAGAAGTGGTGCGTGGGCATTTTCAAAAATAGGTGACGACGTTGACAAGACTTAAATCTTGTGAAGTTAACTTGGTATTTGAGCAAGCAAAGGCTGTGTCACACTTTTGATATGAAAAAGAATGATCCCAACTTGAATGTGTATCAAGTTCTTAGATGAAATATTCAAGAAGTTGATAAATACCCTCAAAATCAAGAAAATGCAAACAAAAAGGGCTAAATTTGGATAATCGAAGTAATGAACTGACTTGTAAATCTCCAGTGCTGCAAACCCTTCTGATTTGACTATAAGAAAAGCCACTTTCTGGTGTCAAAGCTTGTTTTTGCAAACTTCGACTCTCCATGCCATCAAATCCAGGAGGGTAAAACGGTAAATTCGGATTCCCATCAAAAGATTTACTGCCATAACTCCTTTGCATGAACTCCTCCTCATAACTCTGTGCCATAAGGCCCATAACTGAATTTCCGAAACTGTCCACCAAAGGGATAGGGCACTCCTCTATCTTCACAGAGTACTCCCCATTTCCCAAATGGGATAGTGAAAGATTCTCAAGATTAACAGTACTTGAAGGAGAAGAAGAAAGAAGGGTAGGGGAAATTTGGTCTAAACTATTGGTTTCATAAAATAGTAGGCTATTTTCTTGCATCAAAATGTTGGGATTTTCTTGAAGAATTTCATGGTTATCGGGGTAAATGGGAGAATCTGTTAATGGGGAAAATGACTCGCAGAAAAATGAGTTATCAAATACAAATAATTCAGAAGACATTTAAAATTTCTGGTTACAACAAAATCAAGAAAATGGGCTCAAATCCAAGAATGACACCTAGGCCCCCTGATGAACTGTGTCCGTAACTATAACAGTTAAAAAGGTTACGAAATTCCTTGTCGGGTGAGTTCCGGTATGAGGTTTGATGAAAACTGAGCCCAGAAAAAACCCAAATGAAGACACTTGAGGTTGAGTAGCAAGGTTTTTTCTTATATCAGAAACTCTTGTCCTCAGCAGAGGAAGATGACAAGAATTCCTTTTTAATCAGTTGATTTTAGACGTGGGGCATAAACTGAACACTCAAATGACAGAACAGGTTGAAGGACCAGTGCACTTCTGGTATATAAAGATGGGGGCATTTTCTCATATGCCCTCTACTTTTCTATATCTTACAAATAGACCTCGACCTTTTTCTATTGTTCGATAATAATTTGTGAATTCTTTAATAGTTTTTAAATTTTGTTACTTTCATTGGTCAAAAAGCCTATGTGCTAAAATATACAATTTAAAGTAAAAAGGCAATTTAAACATTAAAAGGCATAAATACAATCGAATCAAATCAATGCAAATTGTGCTTGTCTACAATATAATATTTAATTTCAAATGATGTTTCAGCTTACAAATATGAAGGGTACTTAAAAGCGTTTTCTTGAATTGTTACCTTTCAGACTTTTAAAAAATATGTACTAATCTCTCCTAAATGTATAGGCGAGCCAAGTAAATATAGCATGAGCAACTTAAATTAAAAATTTGTTAAAAATAAATAGAAAACAGGCCTTGAGCTAAGGCTGTAAAGAAAGTGAAGTTGGGTCATTTTCTTTTTCATCTGATCACCGCCAGCCATTGCCTTCCACAGATGTAGAACAGATGGTTGAATGAATTGAAGAAGAATTGGACCGAAAATGAAAAAAAGGTAATAGTGCAGGTATGGCAATCGAGTTTCGGTTTGAGCTCATAATACCATTCTAGAATGATCAACCTTGCAATAAGGAAATCAACAATGAATTGATTGCTGAATTAGTAGTTTGAAGAGAAAATAATAGGAGATTTGTAGTAGAAGATAGCGAATCAAAATTAGAAGAGGAGTTTGAAGCGCTGTCGTGTAACCCTGATCATCAAAATCGAAATACCTTTGATGATTATTGTATTAAAGTAGATATTCCTCCTTTCTTCGGTAATATGAAGATTGAGGAATTCTGGGTTGGTTGGTAGGTAAAGGTTGAACGATTTTCTGAAATTATAGATATTTCAGAGGACCGAGTGGTTAAGATGGTGGCATTCCGTTTGAAATTTGCAGCAGCGATATGTTAGGATCAATTACAACATGCTCATAGGAGATAGGGAAAAGGTCGGATTCAGACTTGGAGAAAGATGAAGCTGTCTATGATGGATTGATTTTTACCCGCAGATTATGAGCAGATTTTGTATCTCATATACCTGGGATGCATGCAAGGTAATCATATAGTATCAGACTATACCAATGAATTTATGCGATTGATCGAAGGGAACAACCTATGAGAGTGTGAAAATCAAAGGGTAGCCAGGTATACTAGTGGTTAAAGGTGGTTATTCAAGACATAATTGGGTTACATAATATTTGGACACTACAGTAAGCCATTAACATGGCGATGAAGGTTGAGATGATGGAATCTAATAAGAGGACAATTTTTTTATAGGAGAGTTTCCCCATCTCCCAAACCATCATCATTCGATCCTTTGGACAAAAGGGAAGACCCCACTACAAATCGCAGCCAACTCTAATAGGAGCAATATTGACAATAGTGGTCGGTTTGGAAACAAAGGTCAAACTTGAGGCACATCTCAAAATGTAAATCTGTATACTAGGCCAACATGAGATATTCGTTATAGATGCTACAAGCCTTGGTATCATTCCCATAACTGCACGAAAAGAAAATAAGTCAATTTGGTGGAGTCGGGGATAGTGGATGAGGTGGATCCTTTTGTCGCCTAAGGAGGAAGGGCATCTCACTACATTTTTTGGTCCTTTGTTATATCAACAATAAGGTGTGTGAAGTGATTGTGAACAACGAAAGATGTGAGAATTCTGTGTCGAAGAGTTTTGGTGAATTTTTAGAAGTTACCTGCTGAGAACCATCCTAAACCTCATTCACTTGGTTGGGTAAAGAATGGTCTTTTTGTTCATGCTGCTGAAACTTGTAAAGTACCTATTTCCATTGGTAAGCATTATAAGGATGAGATTATGTGTGATGTCATATACATGGATGCTTGCCATATCCTACTAGGTCGTCCATGGTAGTTTGATGTGGATTCAACTCTCAAAGGGCGTGATAATGTGGTACTCCTTTCATGAGGCAGTTATAAGATTGTTATAGTTCATCTCAAACAGCCGAAGAAGTCTACCCAACAACTAATCGAGAGTTTCCTTACCCTTACAAATAATGAGAAAGTGATTGTTGATTCTGTAAAGGTTTCTGATTGCTTTTATCTAGTGGTGGTTAAATGGTTTTTTACGACAAATAAAGTAGAATAAAGTGTTTCGCCGGAGGAACAAGAAATATTGATAGAATTTTAAGATTTGGTTTTCGATGAACTGTCAAGTAAGTTAGCTCCTATGAGGAATATTTGACACCATATTTATTTGGTACATGGGTCTAGCCTTATAAATTTGCCTTTTTACCGAATGGATCCGAAGAAGAATGAGATATTGAGTGAACTAATTGAGGAACCGTTGAGGAAATGATTCATAAGGAAGAGTAAGAGTCTGTGTATAGTATATGTCCTCTTAGTGCCAAAGAAGGATAGAAAGTGGCGTATGTGTGTTGATAATAGTGCCATCAACAAGATAACATTAAAGAACATGTTTCCCATTCCATGATTAGAAGACATGTTAGATATGTTTGGGGGTTCTAAGGTCTTTTCGAAAATAGACCTTCGTAGTGGCTACCACCAGATCCGCATTAAACCTTGGGATAAATAGAAGACTGTCTTCAAGAGTAAAGATGGACTTTATGAATGGTTGGTGTTGCCATTTGCGCTCTCAAATGCCCCCAAGTACTTTTATGAGATTGATGAACTGGGTTCTTCATCTTTTTATTGAGTCTTTTGATGTGCTTTATTTCAATGATATACTCATTTACAACAAGTTCAAAGAAGATTACTTGATTCAATTGAGGCAAGTTCTAGATGTTCTGAAAAAAATTAGCTTTACATAAACTTGAAGAAGTACACTTTTTGTACGCCTAAGCTGTTGTTTCTAGGCTCTATGGTTGGTGAAGATGGTCAACAGGTAGATGAAGAGAAGATGAGCAATCCGGGATTGGCCAACACCAAAATAGTTTTTGAAGTAAGGAGTTTTCATGGTTTGACAACTTCTATAGGCGATTTATCAAGCATTTTAGCAATATTGTGGCACCCTTAGAATGTTTGAAGAAGAGGAGATTCAGTTGAGAAGATGACCAAGATAAGAGTTTTGTTTTCATCAAAGAAAAGTTGTACCTAGCTCCAATATTTTGAAAAGATATTTAAGGTATAGCATGATGCTAGTCGTTTAGGTATTGGGGCTATGTGGCTTTCTTTTTCAAAAAGGTTGTGTGATGCTAAACAGAAGTGGAGTACTTATGAACATGAATTATATGTAGTTGTGAGTGCTTTGAAGCAATGAGAACACTACTTTGTACAAAATAAGTTTGTGTTGTTTGCTGATCACCAAGCCCTAAAGTTTATTCATAGTCAGAAACATATTAACAGAATGCATGCTCGGTGGGTGACTTCCATCTAGAAATTTTCTTTTGCTATTAAACATAAATCTAGAAGTATGAATAGAGTTGCAGATGCCCTTAGTTGGAGTGCCTCTTTGCTGGTCAAGCTGTTACAAGAAATTGCTGGGTTTAACTGCCTGAAGGAAATGTATGCAAATGATCCTAACTTTAAGAAGATTTGGAGCAAGTGTGTGAATCATGAATCGGTGGTGGATTTCTATATTAGTGATGAATGTTTGTTCAAAGGCTACTAGCTTTGCATCGTTTCATCTTTATGTGAAAAATTGATTCGAGATCTGCATGTTGGAGGTCTAAGTGGGCACTTGAGGCATGACAAGACAATAGCCAGTTTGGAAGGTAGGTATTATTGGCCACAGTTGAAGCAAAATGTTGGATTTATAGTTAGAAAATATTATACTTGTGAGGTGTTAAAGGGTTAAGTATATAATATTGGGTTGTACACGCCACTTCCTGCCCCTCAGGGCATATGGCAAGATTGGGCTATGGATTTCGTTCTGGTAACATCTCGTACTCAAAGAAGCGTAGATTCTGTTTTTGTGGTGGTTGGCAGATTCTCCAAGATGGCTCATTTTAGCTTGTCGGAAGACTTCAAATGTATCAAGTATTGCCAAATTGTTTTTCAAAGAGGTTGTTAGATTGCATGGAGTTCGCAAGTCCATGACTTCAGATCGGGATTCAAAGTTCTTAGGGCACTTTAGAATTACCTTGTGGAAGTTGTTGGGAACAAATTTGAATATAGCATTGCCCATCCACAAACTAATGGACAGACCGAGGTCACTAACCATACCTTTGGAAATATGGTTCAAAATTTTTGTAGAGATAAGCCTAAATAGTGGGATCTTGCACTATCTCAAGTGGAGTTTGCATACAATAGCGCAGTTCATATTGCTACATATAGGTCCCCGTTTGCTATTGTGTATATAGAGGTTCCCTATCATGTAGTTGATTTGGTGAAGCTATCAAATTGCAATATAGTAAGAGTGTTGCTGCTGAACATTTGGTAGAACGGGCGCTAACAGTCAGTGATAAAGTACAACAGAAGTTGGAGAAGATTAATGCAAAGTATAAGGCAGCGACATATTTAAATCAATGGGATAAACAATTTGAGGAAGGAGATTCAGTGATAGTGTTTTTGAAAAATGAGAGCTTTCCTGTTAGTACTTATAACAAGTTGAAATCGAGAAATATGAGCCTTTCAAAGTGCTTAAACAAATCAACAAAAATGCTTACATTATTGAT